GTGCATTAGGTTGAGTTTATCCAGGTTATTTTCTCCTCTCAGCTAAGCCACTCGTCTTTCTTATAGGACTGGTTGTTCAAAACGCTGAAAATAGTCTTAGCTATTTTAGAGTTACCGTAATCTGTGCAGTGTATTTAATGAGGTTCCTGAGTGTGATTTTTAGGAATTCAGTCTATTACACCAAATGTTCACATACTTTTTTTGTTGATACAGTAACAAAGTGTAGCAGCTTGAAATGTGTGGCACTGAAGAGCATCTGTAATTACAGCCATTTCGGCTTTCTGGTATTATTCAAAGTTTACCTTTTGTCTTACCTCATTTGTTGTAGATGCTTTTTGTCAGTTCACTACAAGAAGCTGTTATATCATTAATACGTACAGGGAGGATTGCGTAGTAGCAGTAGAGAGCAGGTAGCACTGCTTGTGCTCTGGGCATGCTGTAGAATTAATGTTGTTTAAAAAAACCCAACCAAAACCAACCAAACAAACTTGAAGAACCATTTTTCTGTCATGATTAGAACTGCTAGCATGTGTTCTTTCAGTGCCTGACAGATTTTGCGTGGTTTCTAACTGCATAGGCTGGCATGTAGGTTAGACTTTTAATATACTTAATGGCGTAGGTTACCAGTGCTTTGCCCACCTTCAGTTTGGTTTGGTTCAAATGAAGAATCCTCCTCACAGTCCTCCCGTGATACATTTTTACTTCTTTTCTTAATTTTAATATGCTTACATGAGTGGGAAAAGTGGGAAGAAAAAAAAAAGTAGTCCAATTTTAGTTGTAAGATCAAAATGTATCTCCATAAATATTTCCTGGAAATTATTTTCTTAAGAATTTTTGAGTCCTTGAATCCTTCCTTTGTATTCTTTGTCTTGAGCACTTTCTGAAGAATTTGTCAGGTGTGTCTTTCGTTGTTTGTTGAGGATGCACTTCTGCAAAGGAGAGTGTTCAGTTTAAGAAAGCTTTGGTCTAGGCCTATGAACACATTTTCACCCCTTCTTGCTGTTTCAGCATTGATTTAATCTTCTGATGATACATATTTTTCAGAAAAGCAGATTGTGAGAGCAAATTGAGACCTCAGACTTCCACTGGGGAAAGAGGTGCTCTTTAAATTGTTCTGAACGGCAGTGCCTGCACCTTATGGTACTGAAACAGCAGAATTCTCCAGGAGTCTTGCATGGACTAATTTAAGTGAGCTATAATTGGGCTTTATCCAAAGCCTTAATGACTGACCCAGGTGTGTGATAAATGTGTGCTTATGTATCCGTATCCACATACGTAATATATGATAGCTATAATAGGCTGCAGGTGGAAAAATCTAAAGCAGTAGTCTTTGTTCTTACAGTGGATTGTTTTCTCACAGAAGTTTAAGCCCAGAAGTGAAAAATGAGATAGGGATATTGAATTGCATTTAACTGTTGGCATTGGGGTTGGGGGTTTTTTGTGTTGGTTGTTTGTGGGTGTTTTGGATTTTTGTTGTTGTTGTTGTTAAAGGATATTATGACTGTTGGATGATTTGTAAAAGAAGAGACATGAGAAGATGTTTGATCTCAGGAAAGGTGGGGAAGATAGTGATAAGATTCATGGTCTTCCAGAGATATTTAAAAAAATTCTTTAGTGTTTTTTAGATTTGTCATTTGCATTTTCTCAGTCTTCCTATCGTTTATCTTTTACCAATTCTTACATTTGCATCGTATTGATTCAGGCAGGCCTTTTATTAGTATGAATAAAATGATCCTTTATTAATATTTATGGAATATATAAATGACAACATTTTAACTGAATAATTCAGGACAAGTACTGTCTTGTTTATTTGCATGTTTCCTACTCACAGGTCTCTGATTAAGACCTATTATAGTAGTACTAAAACACATTCTAAAAACCTTGGTGCTTCCATAGTAAGAGTTAACTGACACATCCAAATGTGGTGGTGCAAAGGGTGTGCTTGAATCGGATTTTCTTCCAATTCCCTGTGTGTGTCATAAGGAGACAAATAAGGATATTATGCCTTAGAATAGCTTTATAACAAACATGCTTATTAAAAGCAGTGCATAAACTTATCTTCATCAAGAGGAAAGGGCTATTGTTAAGAATTTTTTTCCCACATCTTAGTGAAAGAAAGTATTTTGTATTTTTTCATTCAAGGCGGCAGTCTATGGTCCACGTTAGCTTTTCTTTGTTCTTTAACTTGGCCTACAAATTTTTCTTTCAAATGCCAAATGTTTTCTCAGTAGAGTTTAACTTCATGTCTTAGTTTCAGTGAATACAGCTTTTTCCTAATAAAGACATCATCAGTGCAGTGTTGGGTACAGAGAGTGTGGAAAACACCACAGAATGCAAAGGTGTGCTAACAGAACCGCCCTGGAAGTGAGACCTGTCTCAGTAAAAAATGTCAGTGTCATCGGTATAGTTAAAATGGGAAAATAAAGCTTGTCAGAAGACCTGTAATGTTTTGGTTTGTGTTACATGAAGCTGGCTTCACAGCTCTAGGAAAATTGTGCTGGAGATGTTGCTTGTGGAACCTTATTCATACTTACATGCTTTTTAAAATATTGCTGTTAACTAGGGTTCTCTGAAAGTCTGAACAGTGTTTGTTGTAACAGAGACGGTCAGATCTTCCAAATGTCCTGTTGGAGGTATTAGAGTAGTAATTTAGAGAATTTGCTTAAATTCTAAAATAATTAAGCTCTCCTTTTATTTGAAGGGCAACTATTTTGCTACTTAAAGGTAGTAACAAGTAGGAAGAGGTTTTTTTTCAATTGGTACCAGCTTTAAATTATAGATACAGAGGGATTCCCTGACTGTTCAGTACATCTTAATGCTGTGACTTTTTCTGTTTGCTGTAGTACAGATAAATCTATTTTAAGTGGACTTGAAGTATCAAATTTGAAAACTTGCTGGTTGCTGGACAGATTTTGTTAACTTTTTTTTTTTAAATATTTTTGTTAGAGCATCAGTGATGATAGTCTCATGAGATTGTGGTCTGTCACCTAACTCTTTTTACTTGTCTGACAATAATAGTCATGTAGTCACCACTTCTTTTAACATACTCTACTGTGACTAGTTCAATCACAAAATAAACAGCAGCAGTCAAAATATTTAACTCTGACTTCTCGCTGCCCTTCAGAGCTGAACTTTTTGTCTAAGAAAATTTTCCAAAGTGAATATATCTGCACTAAAATGTGAATAAATAAAGGGATGGTAAACTTCAACACAAAATCGGTGAAGCTGCTAAGTAAGCAGTGCCTATTTCCTTCCCTGAAAAACAGGAAATACAGGTTAAGGCTTTGCCTCCTAATACAGCCTCGTGGGTTTCTCTTTGGTTGATGCCTTCTGTCTGTAACAGCGATGCACTCTTAAATCTGCTTCAGTTTGTAGAGACAAACACTGGCATTGGGTTCACAGTTTGTGCGTTTTGAGAGAGGATGCAAAGGGAGACTTTTGTATCGGAGAGAACACAGTTTTCCTTGTGGGATGGGCACAACCTGGTGGTTCAAACAAAGCCCCATTTGCCCCAGAGTACTGTACTGTGTCTAAATACTGGGGTCCAAATATTGTTTAGTCTTGTGTTTTGTCTCGTGTGGAAAGAAGAGGAGTGATTCCTCAACTAAATAATGTAGCAGCTTTTTGACTGCTTTATTCAGCTTGCTGAAGGGGTGTCATTTCACTATCATAACCATTTACTGGAGTCTTTCCCCTAACTAACACCGATCATGCTCATAAATCCATAAGTAGGCAAGTTGATGTTCTAGAGTGCTTAGAAATTGTTGCTTTATTTTATTCATGATGCTGAATTTGAAGGAGCCTCGGGCAAGCCTGTTTATCATGTGTGTTCTCTGCCACTCCTGAAAGTGGTTCAGGTTCAGTGATCACGTTATGCTATGTTAAGTCACCTTCTTGATACCACTCTGCCCCTGCACAAGGTGGTTTTAAGATGTTTAACTGGCTGCATATGTACACTTCAGTCTGGTAGGTATGTTGATGTGAATTTTGACCAGATACAAATTTTGTGTGTTGCTTCAACTCTTCTTTCCCCCCACCAGATAGCGCTGGCAGCTGGCACCAACAGAAACAAATCCCAGCTGGCTGAAGTTTTTATGGGAACATTAAGTTTCATAGGTCAAACATTGGGCTGAGATGTTTGAAGAGTAGTGTTGTACATGGCTCTTTTTTTTAATTTCTTTTTTTCCTCCTCCACATTCCTCTGAACTGTATTTTTGAAATCCTTTGTTTAAAGGACTACAACCAAGTCACCTGTTCCCTTTTACAGCCCAGCAAACACCAAGACAATGGGTTGGCATTTTATGTTAACATATTTAAAACACTAGGTTAACTAAATCTTAATCTTAATTAAAACAGGAATCCCCATTCTGCATAACAGTAAAGCAGTAAATTTTAATTCTACACAATCAAAATGTTGTAAGAACATATGCGTCTTCCCCAACTAAATTTTGATTGTGTAGATGTTATGAAACATTAATGAAAAATATTACACAGGTTTCCTAGCAGATTAGGGGAGATATTCCAAATATTGAAAGTTCCTTTAAAAAGAGATCTGTGATGCTTCACTTCGGTGACAGGGGAGGAGGACAGAGAGGCATATACTTAGAATTAAAATTCAGTACTATTAACTACTATTGAGCAAGCAAACCCAGCAATATGTTAGTGTCCTTCAAAATCTTTGCAGCATTTCATTCTTTGGTTTCCACTGGTATATATCTTATTTCTCTGTGTGTTTAGTATTGTCTTACAACTCACTTCATAGGTATTTTGGGCATTTAAATCTTTATTTTTCTTAAGCAAGTATCTGGAGGATTAAATGTCAAGTAGTTGGTAATAAAAATCACTCAGAGCCTGACTGCTGTAGGAAGGGAACTTATGTGCTAATGGTTTACTAATATTACTTTAATATTTCTTAGGGGGCTGCGGCAGGGATGGTTTTTATGTTAGTGGTATATGGAAGGCATTAGAGATGATGATCAAAAGCTACATATTGCAGTATAATTTCTCAAACTTATTTTTCTCTTGCTCAGGGACATCATGATAACATATTTTGAACCCTCCATCTCATTCGAGGGACTGTGCGGTGAAGTTCGAGACATGTGCTCCTTTGACAATGAACAGCTTTTCACCATGAAATGGATTGATGAAGAAGGTAAATCGATGCTTGGTTCTTGGTCTTATAATAAATATTTGATCAATATGTTCTTTAACTGTCTAGCTCTCCTTTCCCTTTCACCTTTTCCTTTCCCTCTGCCTTCATAAGATAAGCTTACAAAACATACTTCATAAGCATGTTTTTAGAAATAGTAAATGAGACTAAAAAAAATGGCTAGCCAGTGCCTTTGTGCATTTATCTTAATGGAAAAGTTGCCGTTTCAAATAACTTAGTGTATTGAGCTCTTTTTTTTACCAAATAAATAAATAAAAACTAATTCATTATCAAAATTCAAATTCGATGTTGCATTTGTTAGGAAGGGAATGGAAAGTATTCCCTTATACTGCTGAAGAATCTCATGGTTCCCCTTAAATCTTTGAGAGTTAAAGTAACATTAAATGATCCATATTCTGGTATTTATCTACCATATCGATACAAGTTTATAGTTGAATTGTATGTGTAACCAAAACCATTATATTTTGAGCGTTTGTATCAGCTGTTATTTTAGCAACTTGAAGTCTATTAACACATAACTATTAGTGAAACTTGTTCTATTAAAAGAGATATTGCTTGTCCAAGTAGCTTTTCATCAAAGTGTAGTAGTAACAACCTCAGCTGAGGACTCTTATCATCTCTAGCACTTATGTTATCCACGTTAAAGTTTTCCTTGGATGAAAGAAAGTCAGTCTGTTCTCCCTTTTCCTTAACAGATGTAGTCCAATTGAGCTGTATGTATACATTAGTAATTTTTTTGGTAAAAGGTTATTTGTAGTTTCTGTTTTCATTGTGGAATTGGTGTATTCTACACAGGTTTTGAGATACACCAAAGATATGTCTGAATTATGAAATAGCTGCTGAGTTATTTTAGCATGCTAAGTACTTGATGCAGTACATAAAAGGCCATAATGTGCAGTGATTTGTCGGCAGTGATTAGTATTTGTATGTAGTGATTAGCATAAATGGTGCTTATAGAACTGTTTCCTCCCCTTCTCACAGCTTTGCCATTCAAAATTGGGCAAGTGCCAGTTTATTCACAGTTTAAAGCTAAACATGGACCAAAGCCGATTTTTGGAAGAGCTGTATGGGACAGGTGTGTTTAAGACTGTGGTTTTGGGAACCTGAGCAGGGTTTTGGGTTTGGTTTTGGTTTTTTTCTTCCTCCCACCATTCAGAAGTTATATATGCCAGACTCGGAGTAAAATGAACAATGTTTATGACCAGACCTCTGTGCAGAGTTGCACGTTTACTTCATAGTAAGCTTGCTGTTTTGTTTTGAGGAGTGTAGTAGCTTTCTCACTGAAGAGGGAGAGTCAGTTGTAGTAAGAAGTGTGTATCTTTTTAATGAAACATTTGTAGAAATTTTTGTGCAGGTTCAGTGATCTACTTGAAGGAGCAGTTCTGTCAAAATTTCTGCTCTTTAGAGACAAGTTTTTAAAAAGAATGCTGCAGTTTTTACTTTTTTTTTTTTTTTCCCCATGCATTCATACAGGATTCGATTTTCCCAAGCAATCTATGTTTGCTTTAATCATTTACTTCCAGTTTCATGTCAGTAGTGAAAAAGTTAATCTGGTGATGAGGAGTGTGTTTAATAAAAAAATCCCCCTGTCTCTGCTGTAATTCTTGCATCTACAATGTGTGGCTTCTTGCCAAGACCCAGGACTCCTCTTTTCCTCTCTTCACTAATTTTTAGTGTTTTCAGTTGGTATTCTGTCTAGAACAGTCATAATTTGCTTTCTTGGAGAATTCCTGTATCATATCCTCTTCACTAAAACCGTAGGTCACTATGTAATAGTAGCATGAGGAAATGTGTGTAGAGTGGACTGATTCTTGTTATATTATCCCATGCTTCTTGTAGTAGAAGACAGGATATGGTATCTAGGCCAACCTTTCACTACTTACTAAATTGCTTGATCAGGTGTGTCACTAAACTGGGTTTATCTACTCACTGAAATTTTTGTCATTTACTAAATGTCTTTTTAGCCTTTGCAAGATGCGGTGTGTCTTGTATAATCACTTCCATTTCATAGAGTAATGGCACACAAAAGCAGACCTAATTTATTGGAGTGGAATAGCTTTTTTAAAAAAATGGTTGATTCCACTGGAAAATAGAATTAACTTGATTTGAGACAATTTTCTATTTTATCTGTATGTGATCAGTTCATCTTACCTCTGTCTTGTGAAATGTACTTACTATAGGATGAAATGAGCCTTGTGTTTGCGTTCAGTCTGTTGTTTCGTGCTATGTAATTCAAAAGCATTTTCTGGACACTTTATCTCAGCTTTCTTTAGATGGCTGCAAAATTCTTACTAGTCTGATCTTGTGGAAAGAGTATTTGTAACTCATCTGTTTTATATACCTAGTCACCACTAAAAACGCTTAATGGATTAAGACTTCTGTTATCCCCTTTAGATTTTGAAGTGAAATTGTGAGTCTGAGGGCAGTGTTGGAAAGGATCAGTTACGTGCTGTTGCCGTTGTCAGCTAAATTGTGATCGCCAGTAGAAAACTAATGTGCGAGTCAGGTTTAATGCTGAAGCTTCCTACTGGTATCTGTAAACCATCTGATCCTAGTGTGAAGAATGGTGTATGTTCTTGAGAGCCTCCTTTTCTTCTGCCAGAAAGAAACACAAAACTGTTTGCACAGGTGTCAGAAACAAATGAAGAAAAACTGGTTTGTTGATTGTCATAGTGAATCCGGATATAGTTGTTCCTTCTCTTCCCGCCGTGCTCTGTACTGTGTGAGTTTGTGCAGTGAGTTGGCAGTCTGATGGCCAGATAGGTGGTATGGTGAAAAATAACTACAGCTGGCTTCAAGTAGTAGTTTTGAGGATTATGACATGCAGAAAAGAATGAAGACAGAATGCTGCATATGGACAGTTTACATTTATTACTAATAATTTAGCAATGGAACATAATGGATACATTAGAAACAAAACAAATTAACTAGGAAAACTTTTGTAGGGTGAGTTTTAAATATCCCCCTGCCTGCTGGGTGTGGGGTTCTAATGAAAAACAACGCCTGTATCTTTTTGGTATTATTTTGGTATCTTGTAGTACAGAAAAAAAAAGTGAATAGTTAATAGACTGTGGCTAGTTCACTTTCAAACCATAGTATTGACTGAAGACTCAGAGGAGTAAAACTTCAGATTTGATCCAGTTCAGCCGAGACAGAAATTGTTCTACCACCTTCAATTCAGTTACCCACAACCAGCTGACCACTTAAGGGTGTGGGAAGTTGCATTTCTGTTAAAAATTGGAAATGGTATATGACAGCAGACTTTCTACATGGGGTTTTGACTAAAAGAAGCTTGTTCTGCTTATGTGCTGGAGTGCAAGCAGGCAGAGAAATCCCATGTTCTTGCATAGGACTTCTTATGTAGGTGGAGGGGAAAAAAAAGAAAGTTGAACTAATAACCAGACATATTTTCTTTCTTTGGGTCAGTGATGATTCAGATTCAGCATTGCTTTGAAAATGTTTCAGTTGTAGTATTATTTTGAACAAGGTTTTGTCTTTTGGGGGGATAATTTTTTTATAATGTTACTAATCTGCACTGGACACCAAATAAAACGTTTTGTTACATGACTGTTGTTTTCAGTCCTTATAGCAGTTTTGAAACACTAACAGACACAGGAGGTCAGTTAAAATATCATGAAGTCTTTAGATTAATTCTGAGAAACAGCTAAAGTTCAGGCTGTGTTTCTGACAGAGTATGAACCAAGTCTAGAATTTAAGGTCCTTCTTGCTCCTGATCCTGAATACAGCAGATCTTTAATTTGGTCTCCTTTGTTCCTCCTCACATGCCACTGTCCCTAGGTTTTAAACCTACCTATGTGCCAAAATTGCCCTGATGTCTGTACGTGTTGTTTAATGATTCTGAAATACCTTTGTGGATACATGTTATTTCTTTATAAACATAAAGTAGATACCTACAAAGAGACCTTAGTCAGTCCTAAACTATTACTTCTGAAACACAGGTTTGTTAAAGCAATCTAATGTAGTCTTGTCAGAGGAACTTTTATCATACAAGCATTTGGCATGTATTTTAATCTGTTCCATCTCAAATAGACAACAAAAGTTGCAATTGTTTTATAAAAAAATATATTTAAAAAATCAACCCACACTTTTTTTTTTTTTTTCCTGCCTTGGTACCCTTTCTTTAAGGCATTTTACTTCAAATAGTCCTGAGGGTGTGAAACTAGTAGTTAAAAATCTGAAAAATGGTGTGTTTTCACTTCGGTTACATGATTTGTCCAATGTCTGGATTGGGGTTTGAGGAAAGACTAGAGGTCTAACCTGGTTAAAGTTTTGGCAGTGTTGAAGCAGCTGTGAATATAGAATTGACTCAGTTCTAATTAAAAATCCATGAAACAAAATGGAATCTTAGAAGGATTTTAGGTGCAGGAAGATAATCTGCACCTCCGGTACTGAAATGATGTGTAACCATGCTTGTAGCAGACCAGACCAGTGATGTTTTGTGATTATGATCTGCTTGCCTCTTGGGAATAGCTCATATTTTTATTTTCCCGGAAAGCATTCAATATGACTGTATTTTCAGATGTACTCTCTGAACAGTGTTGAAAATAATACTACTACATGACAATATTGTTTTGGTTTGCTACAGTAATTATCTTAGAACCGACTGTGAGGGAACTGTTGAATGGCACAGAACTAATTGGATTGTGTTTTGTATTGTTCTTTTCTTTCTGCAGGAGATCCATGTACAGTTTCTTCTCAGCTGGAGTTAGAAGAAGCCTTTCGGTTGTACGAACTAAACAAGGATTCAGAGCTTCTAATTCATGGTACTGTGAAATTTACTGTGCTAGTTCTCATGTTTGTACCTGTGAAGTGGAATTTTTACCTCGTGTTATCTGTGTCTTTTGTACTATTCCAGCTTCCTCAGTTAAAGCCTGTTGTGGCATTCTGTCAAGAGGGTGCTGAAGACCGTGAACTGTGCTTTTTAGCTGTCAGCACTTTGTCAGCATTCTTTATTAAATTAAGGGAGGAAAAAATACTTTGCTGTTAGTTTATTGATGAAAGACAGCCCCTGTCTCATTCATTCATTCATCCCAGATGTCTTCCTATGTTTGCTGGCAACGAGTGGTAGAAGATACATAGTACAGTGTCCTACACTGTGATAAGTGCTTTAGACCAACATCTGTATTGGGGAAAAAACGCTGAGCTCCATTTGTGATGCCAGATTAGTCAAAAGTGTGACTTTTCTAAAATTAAGTACTTTAGACCGCTTTTGAGCCTAATAATATCATGCCCTTGTTTGTATAATTGTTCATTTTTTATTTTTCAGAGTTATATGCCTATTTTGATAGCTTCTGCAGTATATTTTTCTTACTGTTTGTAACTTTTACAAGTAGAAGATAGATTTCAGTTTAACAGAGATTCTAGCAGAAAAGCAGGGGATCACTGTAAAGAATGTTACTAAGTGTGTTACGTGGTCCTTCTCTAAAATGATGCAAAAAATCTAGTTCACTGTCAGCTCATTTGGAAGGAAGAGACAGCTTTTCAGTTAAAATGTGGAAGCATGTAATATGTTTATATATATAACATATATGTCTCTGTTTCTGTATATGTTTCAGTATGCTTTTTGATCTACCCTTTCTCCGTTTAGTTTTGTGTTTGATAAAATTCTGATTAAACCAGCACCAGGGCTCTCTCCCCACTTCTCTGTGACAGTTACTGAAGCTAAATAAACTGGAAAAAATGACTACTGTAGACAAGATCACATGTAGCTGTTAGGACACCATAATATAATACATTTATATTAAAGATTTCCAGATTCTGACTGTGATTGGTGACGTGAGAAACCAGAATAATTACTTTTTTCTAGTTACTTTCTTTGGGAAATAACTTGTTTTATTCTGCTTTTTGCTCGTAAATCTCATATATATTGCTGTTACATCCAGTAAAAGGGTTTTGTGGCAGCTTTTCAACTCACCTGCTCTTGAACAAGGTTTTGTTAGAACGCTGTCTTCCTAAATGGTTGAATGCCTTTCAGAAGTATTGTGTAAGATTTACATTTTCTCTGAAATAAAAATTAATCAGAAGTCAATATCTTTCTTGCAGTATTTCCCTGTGTACCAGAACGGCCTGGCATGCCTTGTCCAGGAGAAGACAGTAAGTAGGCATTTCAGTTAAGACATACAGAAAATCAGGAATTCAGATTTCCTGTTTTAGATCTTGATGTTATATGGTTTGGCATCCTACACTTATGAATATTAATAATGCAAATCTCGGCAAATTAAATATTTAAAATGAACAGAAAGTCTTGCTAAATTTAAATGTTGTTTGTCACTTCTGAATCATTGTTAATAAACATTTCACATTCCTGTTAACTATCCATGTCACTCTGCTTTCCTTGCTTTTGCCTCTTCTATTATGAGAGTTTTTCATTCTATTCCTATCTTTTTGGTAGTTGCCGGATTGCTGGCTGACTAATGTGAACAAAGGCTTGTAACCAATGGTAATGACTTCTATCACCATTTGCAGATCTCTGGTTAATTCATTTTAAACTGATGTTTAGAGGTTTTGCAGAACACTCCTGATAGTACCTAAGTTATGGTAGCTAATGTACTGGACATTAAAGAGGTAATTTTTCTCTGTCTTAAAGTTCTATAAGAGATCGTGTGTCTGTTATGTACACGCACACATCTGTCAGCTTCATGTCCAAGTCTCTGACAAAAGAAAATGTGCATGTGTAAAAGTTAACTTTGGTATGGATAATGCTGCTTTTCTGAAAAAAAAATGAGGCTGTGAATCAGAAATAGATTTGTGACTCAGTAGAGTTTTGTATGTGGCTTTCAATTTTGGTTCTTGACATGCCTCTAGTAGTAAAAAATCAAAATTAAAAAAATCCAAACAGTGTCAGCTGTGGATTTAAAACACTGGAGGATTTGTGTAAGCAATCTTATAAATCAGGGCACGCTCCTGAAATTCACCTTTCCTCCTTTCTCTTCCCCACAGCTCCTCCCCAAGTTGAGGTGAGGTAGTGCATCATTTGCTCACAAGTGTTTGTATTGTTAGGGCAGTTTTCCTTCTCTTGACTCACTGTTCTTTTTAACTTTGGAAAAGCAGAATTAACTTTGAGTTGATCAGGATATTCTACTTAAAATTTTCTCCAAAACTTAAAAAATAAAAAGATACTTGGAACATTGTGTTTCTGGAAGATGCAGGAGTGAAACTCTACTCTGCAAATCATTCTTCACAGAAGCGTCCATGAGAAGATGTTGTAGTTCTGTGTTTATATTTTTATGGATATAATCGTATGTTTTTCCTCTTAGAATCCATTTATCGCCGAGGCGCCCGCCGGTGGCGAAAGCTCTATTGTGCAAATGGTCACACTTTCCAAGCCAAACGATTTAACAGGGTGAGACTCTTGCTGGGTACTTAAAACCACCGTACAGGGATGTCTTACTTTCGTAATTACAGTGTCACTGCCTTGAAAAATTATAAGGTAGTTTCATTCTCATTTTTGTTGTTTGTCTGTAGTATGTAGACTTTTGATAACCATGTAGTTTTGGGAAACCTATTATTAAATTATGAGGAACTTAGGAAAAAAAAAATAATGGTTGCAATTCACTTTTCATATACTCTGAAACCATTATATCAATCATATAAAAGTTCCCTTTTAAAATCTTCCCAGAGGGCAAACTTGAACATTGGCATTACATGACTGTGAACTGAAGGTACATTTTCAGTCCTTTAACTTCTGGGAGTAAAAAGGTCTGAACTTGCTTGTGATGCACGGACTTTGCTTTCATGACTTTTAAACGAGAAAACGGAGATTTTTCTCCAAACAGCCTGCTTATTATGGCATGCAATCAACTGAAAATAACAAGCTATTTGGAATATTTTCAATGTCAAATGTAATTAGCTAAGGACCAAGAAGGCTATCTGCTGTATTTAGAAAAATCAACAGCAAAAACCAAACCCAAGATATTCGAATAAGCCAGGTTCCTTGACAGCTTCAATAATCTCTTCTTCTTTTCTAAGCTTAGTGTATTGTGTGCTTAATGCTTGAGATTGTCTCCACTAAACTTCATCTTGAGCATCCTTCATACCTAACTTCTGCTTTTTTTTTTTTTTTGACCTTCCTGGTCAAAGGCTGTCAAGACACTGTAAATTAACTTTCCACTTTTGGTTTCATAGGCACCATGTTTTCATGGTTCTTTTGAGTTGTTTTGTGACTGTCCTTCAGTGAGTGGTAATCTTTCCAATTCCTGTTATCTGGTGGTTTAGTGTTTTGAAGCTTTTGCTCTACTGCCTTCCTCTGTACAAATGTAGGACTCATCTACACAGAGAGATGACAAGATACAGAGCAAATTAGCTTGATCACAGCAGCCTGCTGGTTCAGCTGCAGTGCTTTGACCTGGAGTTGGTTCATGCCTCTCTGGGTCTGTATGCATCAGAAGAGACTGCCTCTGCCTTCACCTTTCCGTGTAGATGCACAATTCCTGTACAGCAGTTGCTGCGTATCGTTCAGTTGTAATTTGGGAGTTCCTCTGTATTGTATCTGCCTGTTCGTTCTTAAACTTTTCACATAGACTCTTGGTATAGTGGCAAGTTCAGTAGGGCTCTCTCTGTTCTCCTATCCTATGGTTTTTGTTAATGAAAATGTAGCTGGATAGTTTTTAGTTTTGCTCTTTAATCGGCTTTGTTGATTTGTCGTTCTAGAGAGCTCATTGTGCCATCTGCACTGACCGAATATGGGGCCTGGGTCGCCAGGGATATAAATGCATCAACTGCAAACTCCTCGTTCACAAGAAGTGTCACAAACTTGTCAATACTGAATGTGGCCGTCATACACTACAACCAGTAAGTAAAACTTATCTGAATCTTGAAAAAACAAGCACCAACCAATCAGTCAAAACTCCCTGTTTTATACTAATGGCTTTCAAATGACGGTCTGCAAATGATCACAGCAGATGAAACATCTTTCTTTGTTTACTGTGACACTTTGCAAGAAAGTTTGGGATTCATTTAGCAGAATGGCAATTTAGTGGCTGGTCAGGAGTCTAATTTTCACATCTGATATTTTTTCCTGTGTCAAATGTAAACATATAACTCAAATTTATCTCATCCTTCACTATGTTGCTACATAGCACACATATATCTATGCACACATGCTGTTTTACATATTCAAAGTGAAGCACAGGTAAAACAAATTCTCTACATATCTGTTAGATTATTAGACTATTTCTGGTTTTACAGAAAAGGAAGATGAAGTGCAGAAGTTCTGACTTTTCTTCCAAAAAAATCAAGTCCCCAGAAAAATTCAAATGATTACTGCTCTTGGTTTAATATTAAAAGCAGACAGCTACAATTCTATGTTTTGTGAATTCATGTGACTGATATATGTACTGCTGAAGTACCTGAGATTTTCTATCTCATTTCTCATTTGCTGTAGTTCTTTATTCTGTTGTACTACATTATCACTTCAACAGCTTCTGGAAACGTGTCATAACTTCCAGAAAATAGGTAAAATAAGGACTGCAGTGGTTTTTTTTTATTGTGTAGGGATTAGAGCAGTAACTATGACTAATCAAGTTAAAAAGTAGCTAGGTTATATTCCTCAGGGATCATTTATTTCATTTATTGTGTAGCGATTAGAGCAGTAACTTATCACCAATCAAGTTAAAAAGTAGATAGGTTATATTCCTCAGACATCATTTATTTAATTTATTATATCTAAAATAATGTCTCACACTTGAACGGTCTAATATAAAAACCCTGTGCCTATTTGCAGGAACCAATAATGCCTATGGATCCATCATCAGTGCATCCAGATAATGTAGAATCAGGTAAGATGAATAATTTTTTTCTTTAAATTATTCTTTTAAAGTTGCTTAAACATTAATTTGGGTTTAAAAAATGACACGGAATAACATTAAATAAAATTACTTTAAAACCTCTTCATTACTTTTTTTCATAGAACAACAAAAATAGGATGACTTTTTAATGTGAAGTGGGATAAAAATACAAAAATTCCTCAGTTTTCCATAATTATCAGTTTAAGAAACTGGCTAAAAAGGAAGAATTTAGGCTGTCAGTTATGCTTTTCCATCAGTAAGCTGTGTACTTTAAATAGGACATTTACAAACAAAACAAACAAACAAAACAAAACAAAAAAAACCTTAAAAGGGCGCTTTCTACTGAATTGTAGCCAAGAAGTTAATTCTTGCAGCAGAGTGATGGTCCTAACACTTGAATTTGGATATAGATGATGAACAGGTTAAAGACCAAACAAACCACTGTTCTGCACAAGATTGTCTGTGCATTGGAGTCAAGTTTAATCTGAAGAGAACTCCAGACATAATTCCAGGGTTTTATATTAGCCATATCTGTTTATTAATGCAGTATGGCAAAAAAATTATTCTGGTGGTTTAAAAAAGAAACACCACCAAATCAAACAGTTTTGAATACTTAGATGAATTTAAATTGTGTATCTCTCTGAGCCCTTGTGTGTGGAAATTTTGAGACAAACTACACTGCTGTTTTGCTTCACTCTAATTGTTTTTCTTGCACGTCTAGTGATTCCGTACAATCCCTCAAGTCACGAGAGCTTGGACCACGTTGGTGAAGAAAAAGAGGTAAAGTATCGTAACCATGGTAGCTGTATTCAGAGATTAAAGCCTTTGTGTCTCTCAATTTCAAGATGTTAGTAATTTAACTTGTCACAAACTGAAAACTAGTACATGAAGCACATTTGGATTGCTCACTCAGGTGTATGCACGTATGGCTTGCAAGCTGTTTTATTTTGAGCCTTGAGTTGAGATGTGCTTTGATTTAGAAAGTATAGGAATGCTTTGACTTAGAAGGCATTCCAAACTCCTCCAGTTTAATTTGTTTCTTATCTGCCAAGTCTCCTCTGCCTCCTTCCTTTTCCCTCACATTCCTTTTCAGGACAGTGCAGTTTTAAGAAAAACAAGTGTTAATCGAATCAGTTGTTTATATTAATTTTGCTGTTCTGTTTGAAGTGCTAGCTTTTGCAGTTGTTAAAATTGGCAAGCCTGCTTACTAATTTCAAATTATCTTCTTCAATAGGCAATGAGCATTAGAGAAAGTGGCAAAGCTTCCTCCAGCCTGGGTCTTCAGGATTTTGATTTGCTCCGAGTTATAGGAAGAGGCAGTTATGCTAAAGTACTGCTTGTTCGATTGAAGAAAACTGAACGCATTTATGCAATGAAAGTGGTGAAGAAAGAGCTCGTCAATGACGATGAGGTAGGCAAGGTTTTTTATCAGTAAATTGGGCAGCTCTTCAAAAGAGCTTTGGTATCTACCACAAGATGGGAGCCAGGCTTCTGCATCTGCAACACTAATTGAAAATCATACGTGCGGTTTCTTATACATACTATACTACTGAAGGTTCACAATAGAGATAACCAGATTTGAGGTCGTTATTGACAGACTGATAGCTCACAGCTGCCCTCCTGTGCCAGTGGTTTCTGTCATGAGCCTCATTGCCTCTATTGTCAACGTCTCCTTTTGTGATCAGGACCATCTGCAACAGTGCTCTTGCAGAATTCAAGTTAATAAGCCTGGCTTGCTTTGTTATTTTGGACCAGTATTCTCTATCTCTCCTATTATGTTGGCTTGTTGGGCTGAAAAAGAAAGGGGTGGTCTGGTGTTCATACGTTCCAGTTTGGTTTTTTGTCACAAAGGAGAACTTGCAATGTTATTTTAATTGCTCTTTAAATTGAATGTCCATCTTAACAATTTGTAGCTTATACAGTGATTAGTAGAAACTAACGGAATTGCACTATTAACACCTCTTGTTGCTGAAGATTTCCCTTGTGTTTCTTTGGGCTACTCTGGAAAGACTCAAGTGACTGTGGTTTGCTATCCAAGAGCTTTTGCATTTATTTCTCCATCTACCATTTATTTCTTCTGCATTTCCTGATGCTTTTTTACATTTGTCTGCACCAGTTTATCTTTTCTAGATGAGTGTTTTTTCACTCCTAAGTACTCCTCACACAATGAGGCTAAAAGTAGAAGACATTCAACACAGAAAAAAAAAATTGTATGCTAAATTGTATTACTTCACATTGCAGAACTATATAACATTTAACTTCTTGCTTTTAAAACAAGGACGGCAAAACACTTGAATATCTTTCTGCTAATTGTCATTAATACTTGACCTAAGAAGTGCAACAATCCTTTTCTGAATGTCATTTTTCTTAAATGAATAGGATATTGATTGGGTTCAGACAGAGAAACACGTCTTTGAGCAGGCTTCAAATCATCCCTTTCTTGTTGGACTACACTCTTGCTTCCAGACAGAAAGCAGGTAAAGGTCATAAGATAATAAGAAGATAGTCTGATTCAAAAAATATTTCATACTGTTAGGCACCGCAAAGGCCCATTTAATACATGAAGTGTTAGGTAGGCAGCAAAAGTCAATGTACTGTAAATCATTGTAGCATTTTATGAGGAAAAGGCCATGTTCATCATCTAAGCTTTTCATATCGGTGAGATGGAGAAGAATGTAAAGTGCTGGTGGGTATGATGAGAAGGATTCTGGATGTGAGGAGAGGTGCAGCTGGTAGGACAAAAGGCTTAACCATATGAGGTAGGATACAGCCTAGAATGGGAGGAAAAAATGTTTAGGGAGAGAGAAATTAGAAGATCAAAAAATGAGGAAATTTATCTCAAACTTTCATGGACTCTCTGAAGATGAGTCTCTGAGCAAGACTCAGAAAATAGTATCTGAATTTTAAAAAGGAAAACAGTACTAGAGAACAAAAATTATTATTTTCCTCTGTAATAGAAGAGATTGTAGCAGACTAATAAATTACTATTCTATACAGTAATAATTTTCAGTACATATAAATTTTTCAATATATATAAATTATAGTTATTGTATGTATTATATGTCCTTGCTGTTTGAATAGGTGACAAGCTAGTGGAGGGAAGTCAGAAGAAAGAGTATTCGTAATATACTAATAGCAGTAACCAGAAACAAAGGAGATTAAAGGGATCAAGAAGGAAAATGAGAAAAAAATACTTTTTTTTCCCCTGTTTTGTGCATAGAATCTGATGTGCGTCTATATAGTCACATGCATAATAATGACAAGCAGTGGCTGTAATGGTTTATGAATGTGGGAAGGATTAGTTACTTTCCTTTAGCAATAAAGAATTATCTAGAGAAATTCCATATACTTGATTTTCAACTTTGTGAATTTATACAAAGTGAAGGAAAATAGTGAAACCAGTGATATTACCAGAGACATGGGAAGAGTTGAATTGTTTGATAACAGACCTGTAACATCTCAGACTTCTTTCAGCCTTGTATACAATCATTTGTAACAAATTCCTGTGTCTTTCAGGTTATTCTTTGTTATAGAGTATGTAAATGGAGGAGATCTAATGTTTCATATGCAGAGACAGAGAAAGCTGCCAGAGGAGCATGCCAGGTATGTCTAATTCAAGATTTCTTGCATCAAAACAGTTGGTTTTTTGACACTGTGCAGTAGTGCAGAGATAATGATGATGAGCTAGAAAATCCTGTCCAGATGTTAAGGATTTAAGAAATGTAAAACTGCATACTCATTTTAATGCTTCAAGCTACCATATTTTTATTTCAAGGAGGAACTGTAATCGGAAGCACTTAGGTAGTGTTTGCCTTTTTTTTTTTTTTTTTTTCCTAGAAAAACACTTTTGTGTGTTGGTTTGGTTTTTACTTTTTTTTTTTTAAAAAAAAAGGTCTAATGAGATCAGTGTGTTTCTCTTACAACAACCACTACCAGCTGTCCAGGCAAATGCTGAGTTCTTGGTGCATATGTTTCATCTCAGATGGTGAGACGAAAGGGATGATTTCAGTAGACATTAATATTAATTAAAAATAATTTTTTGAAGTGACTGTGGATAGAAATATTTGTATGATTATAAATAACTTACCCACTTCTCTGATGAAAAATATGAGCATAGATAGGTTTATATTTAGATAAGTGTCATAATACCAAGACTGTTATTGTGGTTTGGGTTTTGATTACCTGAGTAATCAATATCTCTTTCTACACTAGGTTTTATTCTGCTGAAATCAGTCTAGCGTTGAACTATTTACATGAACGAGGGATAATCTACAGAGATTTAAAGCTGGATAATGTGCTACTAGATTCTGAAGGGCATATTAAACTCACAGATTATGGCATGTGCAAGGTAAGATCTAGTTCCTTTGTTAACCAGTAAAATCAACAATTAAGTAATTATAATGAATTGGAAGATGCAGAGGCTTAAAAATGCAAAATGTCAAGGTATTCATTTGTACACAGTGCGGACAGGCTGTGTGCTCATTTCATTTCTGCAAATAGAGAGAAAAACACTGAAGTGCACAGACTACATATATATAATGATTATATTTTTGTAAAGCTGCTGTATCAACCTGATGTGAGAGGTAGGCTGAAATAGTCAAGATAGCTTGATTCCAAAAAGAGCAGGAGGGTGAAATATATCAGTCACACTTGCTCCCATTTGGATTCTGTGACGCTTCTCATTTTCTCTAGAAAAACGCTGTCACTACAAAGACACTGGAGTACAGTTTGACTTTGCCATCGAAGTGCCATTATGCTGATCTATTAGAAGTATTTTAAATACTGTCATTTTGGCCAAGCAACTGAAAAGCATAAACTAATACAGGTTGGAAAGGGCCGTAGGAAATCTAATCCACTCTCCTGCTCAGAGGGGAGGTGCAGGCCAGGTTGCTAAGGGCTTTATTCAATTTGATCTTGAAAACTTCCAAGGATGAAGACTGCACAACTTCTCTGGGTTACACACACAACACCCTCCCCACCACCACCATTCTGTATCCCATGCTGTTCTCTGAAAAGCTTGTTGTCTGTCCATTGCAACACCCCGGTCATGTAAGCTGTTCAACCATGCCTCGCTTATTCCCATTTGCCTCTTGCTGGACATGTGGTGGAACTTAATGACTAAAACCTCAACAGATGATGTCATCAGTAGGTATGTGCCATCCTCTTGAGACTCTAGATGCAACCTACTTGTTTTTTTCTGAAACAAGTGGTGATTTGTGTTCATTTACATACAGATTTAAATATAGCTTTACTAAAACGAAAGTGGTTTATTCAGGATGCTTAATTCAAAACTCAGTTCTTAGCAGAGGGGAAGTGTGGGGTCTTTGGCTAACTGAAGTATTTTCTTCCCATCTTTTCTTAAAGGAGGGTCTGAGGCCTGGTGACACAACCAGCACGTTCTGTGGGACTCCAAACTATATTGCACCTGAAATTCTCCGCGGAGAGGATTATGGTAAATGGGATTTTTCATTGCTGCCATATAACTTTCACCTTGTCCCTTACTCCTTACTTGAGTTGTTTAGCAGTACAAAGTATAAATCTCCATTAGACATGAAGTCACTCTTAATTCAGCATCTTGTCTGAAAAAGTAAATCCTTCAAAGGAAGGACAGAAAACATAACACCAAGCAAATAAGTTACCATGCCTTCCACATTTTAAATTTTTTTCAGTCTTGAAGAATAGCTTGAGTCTTCCAAATTTATTATTGTTAAGAACTATTTTAAGTACTACTAATTATATACTTGCAGTCTTGCATTGTGTTCAGGTCTGGAGCTTTATATTTGGCAGCAGTGATAGTATTAGATACTGCAAAGGGCCTAGATAGTAGATCTCTCACAAATCTCAGTGTTAAAAATAAAATTGTCTGTGCAGTTGCTTGTTTGGGAAGTCCACAAGATTCCTGAAGCAAGAGATGTGAGAGAGTATAGAGGGCTTGCTCTGTGTGTTTCCTATTACTTTTTCCCCCTAAGCTTCCAATACTGTGCCAAGCAGATCTTTGGTCGGTTTTCTTCCCTTAAGATTTTAACAAGTTCTACAGTTAGTTCCAATTTTTTTTAAAAAGTATATGTAGCTTTTAAATGTACTACCTTATTCCAGTTGAATGTCGCTTTCGGACTGGCTTCACCTCTTCCTTCCTTACCACAAAACTTCTAAGCCAACCAGACTTTATCAGTCCTAGCCTAGCTATTAGAATTTTTTTCTTTAGCAGCAAATAGTGCCACAGATATGCTTAGTTTCATAAAAGACTCGTGCTACTATTAAGAATCATATACTTCCTCCTTGTCCTTATTCCCTGCTCTGGATAACCAATCCCATGTTGGTTAGTAATGATTAGGATTAAATATTATCTAAACCTTTGTTAAGGTCCTGACACCAGCCTTTAAGCTTTTTGCATTTCCTTTCCTTTGTACAGCGTATCCTTCCATCGTGCACATAATGAGCCAAGTAACGTCTAGTACAATTGTTACCTCTCCTTTGTTCAAATAATCAGAGACTGGCAGTACTTGTATCTTTGAATTAATTCCTTCTTCTCAAAACATGCCTGTCTGTAGCCCCCAAAGTGTTGGTATTTTTTCTCCAAACTATCTGCAGTAGTGTTTTCTCCTATGAATTCTAGGCTTCAGTGTAGATTGGTGGGCACTTGGTGTGCTTATGTTTGAGATGATGGCGGGCCGGTCGCCCTTTGATATCGTTGGGAGTTCTGACAATCCTGATCAGAACACAGAAGATTATCTTTTCCAAGGTAAGTACCATGAGTGTTCCTACACTTCAGTGCTTTGTTCCTGCGTACCCTTTAATCTAACTTTACAGATGCAAAGCCTGATATGAACCTTGGTTTTTTTGCAGTAATTTTGGAAAAACAGATCCGAATTCCTCGATCCCTCTCTGTTAAAGCAGCAGGTGTTCTAAAGAGTTTCCTTAATAAGGTAAGAACTGAAGGGGACTATTTAAGACTTCTTAAGAGCAGCTGTTTTTTAAAAAAACACGTTGACTGTTTGATATGTAATAGACATACTTTATCTGCCATAAACAGGGTACAAAAATTGTGAGGCTAAAGCAGAATTCCAGTGGGGCCGGGGAACCTATTCTAGATACTTAAAATCCAAAGCTTCAGATTCTGAGACTGGGATCATGAATAAATTTCAAATTCAAAGGCTTAGAAATGCTCAGAGTGATTTCTTTAACCTGGGGAATTGGACAAACTTACCAGATTTATTTTGGTTCTTGAAGAGAAGGAGCTTAGCAAATCACTCTGACAACTGCTGATGATTTCATCGAGGGAAATGCAGAGGCAGTATGTGCTCACTGCTGGTAGCTAACCAGCCAGAGAGTCAAACTGTGTGTGTGTGTGGCAGTGGACTAGTCCAAGCACATGCTGGCCTTTATTTAGTGAGTGTTAGGTGAGTGGGGAGGAAGAGGTACAGGACAAAACAGATTTGCTTAAATTATTCTAAGAAAGTAATACTGTTGAAGAGCACTGCTGCTTGGCTGTGTGTGTATGTGTGCACATGTGTACATGGAGATGGAATGCTATTGTTAAAGTAACCTTCTTTCTGCTGTATTTATCAGTAACCTGCAGTTACTACCATCAAGTCAAATTCATCTAACCAAGTTTGCTCTGACACATATGATATGTTTAAACAGGTTTTGAATAGAAGTGAAGAAAGCTGGCATGGTTGTTTATATAAAATTCCATTAAAGGCTTCCATATATTCATGCCTATGTCAGACAGTAAATTGGAACAGTTGCCAAAATAAAAAATGCTTAGTTCTTCAGTGTCCCTTGTAACTGTGGTGTTTAATTTCTCATGGAATTTGTAACATTCGTGGTTTATTCATGTGTAGGCCATGGCACCCATTTAGAAATATTTTCTTCCTTGCACAGGATCCAAAGGAACGTTTAGGCTGCCATCCTCAAACAGGATTTGCAGATATCCAGGGACATCCATTCTTTCGCAACGTTGATTGGGATCTGGTATGTGCCCACTTATTTTGTTTGTATACATTATATTTTAGCTTATTTTCTTTGTATACAATGCTAGCTTGACAACTTGTTTTTAGCATGAGAGATGATGTAAAAACTTCAAAAATTTTAACCCTTTTTACACACAATAAGTACAGTAGATTAATGGAATACTTGTAGAAAGTATACAAATGAAACTTAATAGTAACTTCCAGCCTTGTTTAAAAATAATTCAATAGCTTGTAACTCGTTCTTGGTTTCACTAAGTGCATTTATTCTTAGATGGAGCAAAAGCAAGTGGTGCCTCCATTTAAACCAAATATATCAGGAGAATTTGGTCTGGATAACTTCGATTCCCAATTCACCAATGAACCTGTGCAGCTCACTCCAGATGATGAGTAAGTAATGTAGAATTTAAGAAGTTCTCATAAGTCAGTGAAGGAGTTATAAAACTTCATTTAATAGCTGTAGTTGTAGTCCATAGAAGATGCGTAAAGCAGTAAATAATATTTTCCTGTGTTAGTTTGGAGAAAATTGTTATGTGTCCTCATGGTAGACTTCATATGGCTGGATTAAGTATTGTCTTCTGGCATGATGTTAAAATCAACTAACAGTAGGAAAGTTGCTATAAAGAATCTTAGTTCAGGGAAAGATGAATAAGTGCTATTTTACAAGTTTTAGTGGCATCATCTGCAAGGAATGAACGTGTGAAGGAAAAGACCTGTTTTGTCAAGTGGTTTATTTTAGCTTTAAGCCATGAGATTTCTAGAATGTTAGGTTTAAATTGAATTTATCTTGGGTGTTCTGAGCAAGAGAAGATGCTTTGTTTGGCTTGTTTGGGTATTTTAATTTGTTAGTAGTCAAATGAGATTATCCTGGATGAAAAGCCTTGCTAAAATCCATGGTAATGTGTTTGGTTTTGGTAGTGGATTTGTGGTTCCTTACTCCTGAGGGGCCTTGATTTGAGATGAGGAGGGAAGGGCCTTTGTAGTTTGACTGAGCCACTGCTATTCACATTTCAAGAATTTTTCTAGGGTGTTGTATATGGTTCATGTTACACGTAAGCACAAACAGTGGATGATAAATGTTACCTACACACCTTAATTAGGTTTGAAATCCAATGTCCTTCATCCCTTGGTAGATGCATAATGTACAAATAAAGTTTAGAAAAGCTGCTCGTGCAGGTTGCAGTATTTATCACATAGTAATATTTTCAGTTTTTTACAAAATTGTCTGTTTTGGACAAGTTTTAAATCTGCAAACCTTGCAGATTGCCTCGTGGGGAGAATATGTGCGTGAGAGCAGCTCAGTCACTGCTCCTGAGTGGTTTTATTTTTTGTTACTATGATAGGGGCCAAAAAAAACCCCAGCAGTAACTGTAAGGATGGAGTGGGGCAAAAGAGAGAAGGGAAATATTCTCAATAGCAATCCATTGTACAGGTCTAAATTTTACAACAAAGTATCAGTTAATATTGTTAACTTTTTAATTTTGCTGAACTAATGGCTGTTTTTTAATCTTAATAGTGATATTGTGAAGAAGATTGATCAATCTGAATTTGAAGGCTTTGAATATATAAATCCTCTCTTGATGTCAGCTGAGGAATGTGTCTGAATTCTCCATTTCTGGACTGTGCCAATTGTTACTCTGTTTGTTTCTGCATGGATAAACATCTCTTCATTTGGATGCACTTGCATAAAATGAGTAACTGAACATCTTACCCTTTGCCACGTAGTGTGAATTACGAATTTTCTTTTTTATTAATTGTCATCCAGGACAGTTGTTATGCTTGAACCTTCGGCTGCCAGATTTAAAATGTTAAACTTTCCAACAGTCTTGCCAAACTTGAATTTTAATGTAGAAGTTGATCTGAGGCTCCTGACTGAACAATGGGATCTGGCTGTATAATCTGCCAATACAGCATTCTGATGAAAGAAAGTTTTCTTACTGCTTTAAGAATACAAATTCCATCAAGGGATGTAATAAAATATCATTGAAGGACTTCTCTTTTTCCAGCGAGACAAGTAAGACCTTATGACTTCTGTAGTTCTAAATCTTTTCTTTCTAAACATCTGATTTCCCTTTTCTCCTTAGACTTAGAAGTTAGAGCTATGTTATTCTCTTCAGATTGAAATGACAGGAAGGAGAGCAGATTTTTAAACTGACGAGGCCAAGAATGGCTGCTTTCATAGGCTATATTGATCTATTCAAAAGAAGATAATTATATCTCAGTAATGCTCTGAAATTAGACACTAGGAATTGTACGCTGATACACGGAGAGTGCCTTTCTGAGCCTGTCCCTTTCCGTGAGGGTTGCACATGGTATAAAGTGTCAGTTTAAATAAATGGATCAGTTAATACTTTGAACAGTTAAAATCTGCAGAGTGTAATTTAGCAGTAACGGGCAGCTAATACTCACGGATGTAGAACATCATACTATTATTTATTGCTTTCACACTTGCTGTCTTAACTGTATCAGAACTGCATATGTTACAGCTGTGGCCTAGATGAGGGCATTTGTTTCCTTTTTCTTAATCTTATTGCCATACTGTTGGAAATGCATTTGACTTTGCCAGTGGAAAAAACACATCTAGGAAGAAATAGGTGCTGTCCACAATGACTCCCTTAACTTCCCCACGTGTAGATGGTGATTTGTAATCACAATCGAACTGTAACTGTTGGTAGTAGACTCAAAGTTAATCGTAAAGCTCTTGGAATGAATTGAAAGAATGGTTCAAACTAGGACTTTTGGGAGGTGTGATTCTTACATTTCATGTTAGTAAACAGTGTAATATACAGCACAGATAATTCTTATTTTTTAATGTTTAAGGAACAGTTTTGAATGTTTAAGGCTGAAGAAATGCCAAATATACCACTTTATTTTTTTTTTTAATTACTCTGGGGAAAAGGGATTAAGAGACATTGAAGAAAAGAATCTGTGTTATATAAGTATGAGCTATAAGGCAAGCTAAGCGTTACTGAAAGCAGATCTAAGTATCTGTAAGCACAAGTTAGCAAACCTTATCTGAAGCTTTTAATAAGACTTCTGCTTGGTCAGTGTCTCTCCTTGAAAATCCTTGTATGGTGACACTGTAAATTCATAGCACAAATCTTCTGGTGTATGTTTTTTTTCACTTACATGTTAGCTTCAAGGAGAGAGATTGCACAAATACACAGTAGTGTTATGGTGTGGTATTTTAGTTCATGTTTTTCTTTGCAACATGAATGAGAAACTCTTGAGGTATTGGGCTGAGTTTTCAGGACTAGAAAGTGATTGAAGAGGCCTCAATTTCAGGGAAGCATTGAACCTCCGCACTGTTAAAAAACAGGTTCCCTTAAACTCGAGTTATATATTTTCAAATGTAAAATATCAGAGTAGACCTACTTTTAAAGTGCAGCTAATAACTTCAGCATGTTTAGTTCATGTCAAGTGAACTGCTTGCATGCGGTTTTAAAATCGTGATTAATTGTTTAGCCTCTAACTTCTACACCTGCATGACTAGCTTAGACATCAGGACTTAACTGATAATAAACTTGGAAATTATCTAAAGCAAACAAGAAAAGCCTTGTCTCTGCAGTGGCTTAACTTCATATGAGGTGTTAAATAAAATGGCTTGAGGTAAAGAAGGGCATTTCTGCTGTTCATCACAGAAGAGTAATGGAGTAAAACACTGTCTTTTGCTTAAAGCAAAAGTTGGGGGTTTTTTATAGATAATGTCACAGAAAAGATACTTTTTCAATTTACATATCTAACCATTAAGAATGTCTCGAAGTGACAAACATCTTAAATAACTGTAAATTTATTTTTAAACCTTTTCTTCAAAGTGCCATGGTATTAACAGATATTTTTTTTCATTGTTAAGCATATAACAACTGTCATAAATATTCAGAAGGGACACTGGGTGTAAACAGTCCAGGGCAGTAGGCTTTGTCTTTGGGAGAAAGTGTCTGCATCAGAAGCATGATGTATTTATGTGGAGCAACCTTCTTTTTGTATGCAAGTTGGATTCTTATGGGTGCTCTGCTAGTTAATATTGTCACTACTATTTTCCTGTTTCATACGGAATATGGTCTTGAATGTTGTTGTGTAATCATTCCCTTTATTTGTGCACACTTTTTACTTTAAATAAAACATTTCTACTAGGCCTCTGTGTGTTTAAACTCTAAAACAAATACCACGAAATTCTGGGCTTTGCTTGAGGTGGTTGTCTGACCTTTAAATATCCAGGTCCCACAGGAGTGTTCTTCTAATCTTATAACTACTTCTAGAAGATAGCGGTGGGATAGACCACAGCACCCTGAGAAATACCTTCCTCGGCCTGTGTTCCCTGAGCATGTCTGAGGGTGCAGGTCCCTCTCCAGTGTGGTTTGCCAGCCTTACATTCATCATGCCCTCTGGAGAAGAAGCACCCATGTAGGTTCTGTCTTTCGTTCCAGCACCAGTGACGAAACAAAAGTAAGTAGCGAGGCCTCGGTCAGCTGCGCAGGTACAGAAAGCGTCAAGTAAAATATAAAATGCAATTCTAGCTTGCTTGACCCAAGGACCTCTTTCAGCTGGAACTTCTAAGACGTCATCTCGGCTGCCAGAGCTGGGGATTTGGAGTTTAGAGCAACACTCTCATCTGCTGTGCTTACTTCTGCATGATTTCTTTCTTTGTTTCTTCAACTCCTCCCCCGCGTTCTCACAGATTTCTGACACGGAGGGCAAGGGCACTTACCTCATACCCTGCTGCAGATGCAGTGTTTTAATAGATCTCTATTTTGATATCTGTGTTATCTATATTTTTAAAAGAGATTTCCTCTTGCAATCTGGCTTGTTATTAAAAGTGTGTATCGGCAGTCCTAGGCAAATGCTGCAGATGGCTGCATATCTTAAATGCTTAACCTCCCCCCACGCACACTTCTTGTTTCTGTTCAGTTCGGTGGCCAACTGCTCTCGGCTCAGTCTGAGCAATTGTTTATGTTAAGATACTCTATAAAAGAAATTAATAGCTTGTATAATCTATATATACTTGATACCTTAACTGCTCAGCGTGCATCCTCACTTCATGATGCCTAAGCAGTTTAAACAAAGGTATCTGAAATTGCCTTAGATTAACAGTGTTTTCTTGGGAAGAGGGAGGTGGGGATTGGAGCCCCTTTCTGAAAAAGGGGATTTTATCATAGCTTGCATTTTCTTGGGAAGAGTTTTGTTAGGGTTTATTTTAAGACCTTTTTTTATTTTTCCTGTTTATAATAAAAGGATCTGAACTGCGTACTTGAAATGCATGATCTTGCCATTTAATCACCAACAATTAAAGGCAGAGAAGTGTCTCCCTCCTGGATGTGTTTGGCTTTCGCAGGAGGTGGGCTTTTTCAGGCATAAATAGAACCAGAAATCTGTTGCGTCCGCATTTGATTTCTAAGCTTGAACAAAGTGTCTGGGCTTATATCCCTCTTACGCTGGGTGGTGAAGCATCTGACTGAACAGCTGAGTTTTGACCTTGATTTTTAGATGTCAAAATTAAGTCCTGTCTGAGGTTCTTCATTAGCTGTTCTGTATTTTATAGAACTGCTTCCAAAGTAACTCATCCTGTAAGATGTGATGGATGCTAAAATCTATTAACTTTTTGTACTTTACCCAATTACAGATCTTATAGTATCTCTAATACAGTATCTTGTCTGTGTTAATCTGTCATAGCAGGTTTCACAAGTGGTCTTAAGTATTACAATTTGGCATTAAAAATCACTAAACTGTTTTTTCTTTTCTTTAAAATGCTCAAGCTAATATCTTCAGAAGGGAAAATATAATTTTTTTTTCTCTGTTCAGTGTTAGATTGTGCTCTTTAGCATCTTCAGAGACTGTGTATATGGGAACAGTTTTTTAAAAAAATGCCTCTTTCTGCAGAAAACCCCCTTTGTTCATAAATATGCAACTTGAGTCTTACTCGTAAAACTGTGACAAAGTTCTTTACATGCTTAGCAGTCTGATGAACAACTTTGTATCTATGTTAACCAGCTCAACTGAAAGATAATTTTACTTTGTTTTAATATGATATTTGGCACTTCACTTTATAGGCAGTAGTTTAAAGGATTTATTTTTATTTGCCCTTAGAAATGCAGATTAGTTTGTCTCGCTTGCCCTTCTTCCTAGTGTGCGAGTGGAAGAGGTATCAACCCCGGTGACTGTCAAAGGTGGCCTGCGGGGAATTCAGAGAAGCATGTGTGGGGAGGATGGGACTTACTCTTTTTTATTTTTATTTTTAAAAAACTCATTTTTTGCTGCATGATATCTTGGAGGTCTGTGGATTTGAGTGTGTCCTGTCTGGTATTATCTTAGAAATACCATGAAATAAAAATTATACACTTACCAGGGAGCCGCTTGGTTTCCCATATGTTATTTTATATCCCCTATTTCTTATTTTAACTGAAAATGACACTTTCATAGTCACTATTTCATTGCAACGTAAAAATTTCTTTTTTAAATAATACTTTTTTTTTTTTCCCTGAGACCTGACTTAAAAAGATGAAAGACAGAAATTCTGTACAGGTTGCCTTGGTGTTAAACCTAAGGTGTTGAAACCAAGCAATGAAGGTGCTATTTGTGAATTGCATTTTAAGATAACCTTAAATGTTAATTGTGTAAGCTTCCACAGAGCTTTGGCACTTCTTGAAAATTCAGAGGCGTTAATAATAAAAGGATGATTCCTCCTATGCTCTATTAGTGCAATTTATTGCATCTTGCAGAGGTCTGTAACTCGGCTTTTAGTTGCACAGTGCCTTTGGAACTGCTTTTCACAGTCTACAGTAGAAGTTGTAGGCAGAGTTAACATCTTTTTTTAGACAATCCTCTACCTACAAACTTTTGTCTTACATTGCCTGATTATTGTAGCTCTATAGCAACACTATCATTACAGCACAATAGTTACCAGGATTTGCAACCTGAAATGGAAAATGTGCAGCAGAACTTGAGAAACCCAAATTAAACAATGCCACTGAATTCCTCAGCTTCCATGACATCAGTAGGTCTAATAAAAGATGTAATATCTGCCTACAGACGTTGCTTTCCTTGCATCCATAGATCTGTCCCGCTGTGGTGTTATAAATATTGTATTTTCTTCAGTAAACTTAAAATGGAAATACGGCATAGTGTGTTTCACTGATTGGTATTTGAAGAGAAATTTTTTTATCAGATCCTGAACTCCTAGAGGGTGGAGAAGACGGGAATGTCCAGAATGTCTGGACAATTGTATCACAGGCCCATGTCTTTCAGGATCAGCTCCAAAAGCTGGTAGATTCAGAAATCTTGTTTTTAATCTGCTATATTGTTGTGGCTTTTAAGCAAACCTTGTATCTGCTTAATAAGTACATACAGAGTGTTAGTGTTCTTCACAAATGTGCTTACTTTTCCATAAAGATATTTCTTGTCTTACCCTCAGAGGTTTTATTGCAAAAGAATGAAGAATTAAACTGAATTTAAGCAGACAGTTGACATCAAACGCGAATGCACTTTTGCACATTCTCCATCCCTTTCCTCAGTCTCCCTGCCGTGCACAAACGCAGTTCACGTTTTTGTGTAAGGTTTAGCACTTGTACTCCAGCAGCTGCTTTGCCTCTTGTTGTTTGCTTAACTGTAAATGGAGGAAAAATACCAATATTTATAAAATCCTTCTGCAGAATCATTACATGAAGCAATGCTCTTTTCTGTCAAAGGCTGGAAGTGCTGCAGAAGCATTTGATGTAGCAGCCAGAGTGAGACGATGCTTGCAGAGTCCTGTGTAATTGTGTTGCTGCAGGCTAAAAACCAGCATTTATGAAAAGCACCAGGGTACTACTCCACACTGCTGCACAATGCTGGAATTCATTTAAACATGTTTAAAACACTTCCCCGCTTTGGAAAGTACAGACAACAAGCCGAGATATAAAACTGCACATCGAGGTGGAATGGCTGGTGTTTATTAACCACTGTGTGCTGCTAAGCTCCATCAAATGCTGTTGGATGCAAAGATGAGCCAAGAGTAGGGTTATGGCCCAACATCCATGAAATTTCCTTAAATACACAGATCCTATTTGTGATGAAGCTCAAGTGGCTGGCAAGTACCCAAGTGCCAGTCCTGATCATCCTTCAGTTCCTGCAGCTCAAATAACGCATAAAGCCTGATGTTTTTATACCTATATGTTTCAGCTGCGATTCTGCTGCTATGGAGGAGTGACACAGATGAACTCTGGCAAGAGGAGATGGAGAGTAGCAGGGTAAATGTAAGTAAGGAGAAGTGCCGTTCCCATAACAGTAGTAGTTGTTATGATAAATGCTCCCTGAGGAAAGACTGAGTCAATCTTTAATGATTTACAGTAAAAACAGAGAAAATGAGGATGGAAGAGGACAAATGCAGTATTAAGGGGGGGGGGGGGG